TGGAAAGAATAGGAGAACAGAGGACTCTATGGAAGTCAATAAAAAATAGGCGAGATAGGTTGGTAGGACACCTTCTCATGCATAAAGGTCTAGTCAGAGACATATTAGAGGCAGAAACAGGAGTTAGGAGGGGTAGAGGTAGGCCTAGATTAGATTACTGTTCGCAAATAGTTAAGGATATGGATTGTTCTAGTTTTAGGAAAGAGTGGAGGTACGTGTCCAACCAGTCTTAGGACTGACGACCTTATGATGATGATAACAATAAGAATACCGATTAATCAATTTCGACTTTATATACCTCATTTGGTCTATATTTTTCATGTTGTAGTGGTTTAAAAATAATCCTTAACCCTGTGCGTTATTTCCAAACCCTCTTGATAAGCCTCAAACCGTTTGTAAATATCAACGTAAGAGAATAAACCAGACTATACCAGATCAAATAGGGTAATTAGACCGAATGTCCTTTCTTAGGGTTCGAACTCCAGCTTTTACTGCTTTCGCGTTATACCGACAAGGAATTTTTCAGAAATTTGAACAATAGCCAAATATGGTTTAATGCTAAAGATGGTACCTCGCTGTAGACGCATTACGCCGTGCCTAAATTGCCCGTTCGTATACTGTCATAAAACATAAATGCGATGGTTTTTTCAATAGGTCCTATATTGAAACTATCTTTTAAAATCGTTATTTTCAGGATAGGTCGTAAATTTTGGGGAAACACACATACACGATACATTCGAGTTTCTCAATGTAAATCCAAAAAAGTAGATAGATAGACACATAGATACATATATACATAGATAGATACCCGAGATAAAAATGTTCAGTCTCTCAGAGTCTCTGAAAGCTAGACTCGAGTCTTCGTCTCTCATCGAGTCTGTCTGGTGTCGCTGAGGGAGACTGTTTAGCGTCTCTGAACGAGAGACTCGAGTCGCTCGTAGAGAGACATCCTCATTTCGTATCCAGTCTCTGAACGAGAAACTCGAATCTCTGAACGAGAGACTCGAATCTCTGAACGAGAAACTCGAATCTCTAAACGAGAGACTAGAATCTCTGAACGAGAAACTCGAATCTCTGAACGAGAGACTCGAATCTCTCTATAAGTGGTGTCTCGATAGACATGGTTAAAAGTTCAACATATTTCAGAGATCCCAGTCTTTCTACGAGACACTCGGGTCTCATAATTTTTCAGTTTTATTAATTCAGTCTCTTTGTGAGAGACTCGAATCTCTTAATTAAGCATTTTATCGTTCGAGTCTCTCATGCAGAGACTGTGAGAGATCCATAAAAACACCTAGGCAAATCTGAGAGAATGTGAGAGACGCTCTCAGAAACGCTGAAAAGCTATGAGAGACTGAAAATTTTTGTCTAGGGTAGATAGATAGATAGATAGATAAATAGATAGATCAATAGATAGCTTTATTAAAAACATTATTTTTTATATATACAAGGTGCATTTATATACTAATTCTATTACTACATATGAATTTTACAAACTAAATATTTTTATTTCGCTTTTCTGCCATTTTCCTCTTCCTTTTTACATCATCCTTTCTTTCCATTTAAATTTTCCATGTTTTGTATTATTCCACATCTCTCAAAAATATGTTCGAAAGTCTCTGGTTCCAGTTTTCACAACCTACATATTTTCTTCTCTTTTACTTCTTCCAAGTACCTTATCGTCCTAATCTCACTAAATCTAAATCTTGCTGGTAAAACTAATTCATTTTTACTCTTTCGTCTTTTGAATATTTTCCTTTTCCCTTTGTTTCCATATTTTCTTGTACTCCTGTGCGAATTTTATTTTTCCTCTTCTTTTTTGCTTATCAATGTCTTTAGTTAAACTTTCCATCATTTTCCATACACTTCTATATTTTTCTAGTTTTTATCTGCAGTGCGTGATCGTCCATCCTCTTCCCATTCAAACATTTCTTCTTTCCTTCGTCCATTTTTCCCCTGCGATTTTCTTTTCTTCGGTTTGAATATTCGATATATTATCTTTTATAGCTTTTAAAGCTCTTTTCAAATATTTTAAGATCAATTTTTCTGCTTTTTATAACAAGTTTATTTACGAAAAGTTATTACAAACCCTTTCGAATCATGAAAAAGAGGGTAATGATACAAGAAATTTCAAAACAATTGTAAATCAAGCAAAAGGCATTCATTATTTATTTAGTCGGCTGAAAAATTATGTGACAGAAATTGTATCCATGTACATATAAACAATGACAAGAATGTCAACCAAAAAAATTTAAAGTGCCTGATTCTTCTTCTAAGTAGTAAAATTAAAAAAAAAAAAAAGAAATGTTGATAAGAAAAGTTCTATTCATTTGCGCTGATAATGTCTCGAGATCGGCAATGGCCGAGGCGATTTTTCGCGACCAAGCTAAAAAGGCCGGCGTCTTAGACCAATGGATTGTTGACAGTGCGACTTTGAGTCATAAAGTTGAAGGACTTCCTACGAATAAATTGTTCCATGGTATCCTGAAACAGAACAATATTAAGTTTAACAAAGCTTCCAGGTCACTCTTATTAGGAGATTATCAAAATTTCGACTTCTTTTTCGGCATGAACAAAGAAAACGTAACGTATCTAAGGTCGAAAGCTCCCAACTTCAATAAAGCCCTCATACTAGACTTCCAAGAACTTGATCCAGATCATAAAGAAATAATTGTCGATCCTTCAGATCGTCGTTCTTTGAATAAATTTCGTCAACAGTGTCAGAGGTGCTGTAAAGCGTTTTTAAACCAGTTTCATCATGTAAACACCTAACTATTTATACACATGTATATGTAATACCTACTATGGAATATTGATACACCTACCGCAACTTATAATTAGTAAAATATATAAGACATAAAAATATACAAGACTACTTGTTGTACTTTCTTTTTTCGAGCAAAATAGCTGAGGTATATAGGTAGGTAAAATTTCGACACTCACGTAGAAAAACTGCTGATAGGAGTCATATGGAGTAAAGATATTTACCTCGGCTACTTAAAGTATAGAATTTTGGATTTTTCTCATGATAATAAAGACATTCGTCTTTTAAAAAAATGTTTGATTTTTAATCTCTCTATACATTATTAATAAATAAAATTAAAACAAAAATACTTGTATGCAAGGGAAGAAAAAGTAGGGAAAGAGCGAATATAAAGATAGGAGACGAAAGCTTAGAAGAAGTGGACGATTTAAGGAATCTATATGAAGTCAGGTAAATCAGGACGGAAGGAGTAGTAGGGTTATAAAGCAGAGGATAGCGCAGGGGTGAGTCGCCTTCACTAAAAATAAGAATTTAAAAATTAGAAAAATGTTGTTAAAGGTGTATGTTTAGCGCACGAAGTTGTACGGGTGCGAAACATGGACGGTGGGCGCGGCAGAAAAGAAAAGGTTAGAAGCGTTCAAATTGTGGTATTACAGGCGAATGATGAGGATACCGTGAATAGAGAAGGTTAGAAATGAAGGGGTATTAAGAAGAATAGGAGAACAGAGGACTCTATGGAAGTCAATAAGAAATAGGCGAGATAGGTTTGGTAGGACACCTTCTCAGACAGGAAGGTCTAGTGAGAGACATATTAGAGGCAGAAACGTGAGTTAGGAGGGGTAGAGGTAGACCTAGATTAGATTACTGTTCGCAAATAGTTAAGGATATGGGTTGTTCTAGCTTTAAGGAAATGGGAAGATTAGCTCAGGATAGGAAGGAATGGAGGTGCTTGTCCAACCAGTCTTAGGACTGATGACCTTAAGATGATGATATACATTATTAAAATGTTTAACGAGTTTCATGTCGACAAAATACACCATCAAAACAGGGATTACTGGTTCGAAGTTAAGTCTAAATATTGCTTTGAATAACTGTTACTTGGCTTTTCAATTGCTACAAATAAAGTAAGAACGAAATTTGATGATCAGAGATTGTTTGAGAAAATTCATATTATTAACAATTAAAAATGTTTCAAGCTAACCCCACTGATACTGGATTCTTATCAATTGCTCTGAGATCCTCCTTGTTCAAATAGTATATTACCTTCACACGTGGATATAAACACGAATACCTACGTTGCACGTACCTTCTTCACCTTTGTATAAGTAAATGTGATTGTTTGTGTGTCTGTGTGTGTGTGTGTGTGTGTGTGTCGTATGTTCTAGAAATTCCCTGGTTGGCGTCTTTTCTAAGCGCAATCTCATCTGCGACATGAAACGATTGCAGCGTGCAATGCATTTGCAAGGAATTCAAGAATCAACCTGAAATAGGCGAGAAGCGCCCCGACGCTACCGTACGCGAGCACACAGTGGACCACATCAAACAAAGGGTTTCTAAGAAATGTAGTATTTCAATGGCGGCTCCCGCATAAGAAAGTAGAAGAAGTTGTAATTAAAAATAAACGTAATATTTAGTATTCGGTCGCTGGTTGCTCATTAATCCGTTCAGTCGCTAATATTATATTAGGAATAAGGAAACTGTAGTTCTAGCATCTTCAACGCCACGTTTACTTCAATAGTTTCATAAGATTGCCTATAGGTCGATTAATATCCATTACGTCTAGAATAATAATAAGTAAAGTTAAGCTCAAGCCCCTCTTCAAAGTCACACGATACGTAACACCTGAGCAAGCGTTTTAGTTTGCTCACAATCTGCAGCGGCATTGAAAAAAATTAATTCCTTTACTGTTTTAGTGGACAATGCGTTTTTGCGGTTAACGTAGCATATATAACAATTACTTTTCGACTAAACTTTTACTTCAATAGCTTCATAATATTATTCATAGGTTAATTGATATTAATCCATAACGTTTAGCATAATAAGGTATGGTTAAGTTTTCCCATTTTGTTCTACCGTACGTTTTTGTGCGTTATAATAGGCAAAGTTATGCTCAAACCACACGATACCTAAAAACGGAGCAAGAGTTTTAGTTTGCTCACAATCTACAGCGGCATTGAAAAAAAAATGAATTCCATCACCGTTTAGTAGATAATGCGTTTTTGCAGTTAACATATCATAATTGACGATTACTTTTTGATTAGATCTTTACCTGAATAGCTTCATAAGATTATCCGTAGGTTAACCGATATTAATCGTATGGTTAAGTTTTCTGATTTTGTTCGACCGTACGTCTTTGTACGTTATAATAGGCGTAGTTAATATCAAGCCACATGAAACTTAACAACGGAGCAAGAGTTTTAATTTGCTCACAATCTACAGCGGCATTAAAAAAAATGAATTCCATCACTGTTTAGTAGATAATGCGTTTTTGCAGTTAACATATCATAATTGACGATTACTTTTTGATTAGATCTTTACCTGAATAGCTTCATAAGATTATCCGTAGGTTAACCGATATTAATCGTATGGTTAAGTTTTCTGATTTTGTTCGACCGTACGTCTTTGTACGTTATAATAGGCGTAGTTAATATCAAGCCACATGAAACTTAACAACGGAGCAAGAGTTTTAATTTGCTCACAATCTACAGCGGCATTAAAAAAAATGAATTCCATCACTGTTTAGTAGATAATGCGTTTTTGCAGTTAACATATCATAATTGACGATTACTTTTTGATTAGATCTTTACCTGAATAGCTTCATAAGATTATCCGTAGGTTAACCGATATTAATCGTATGGTTAAGTTTTCTGATTTTGTTCGACCGTACGTCTTTGTACGTTATAATAGGCGTAGTTAATATCAAGCCACATGAAACTTAACAACGGAGCAAGAGTTTTAATTTGCTCACAATCTACAGCGGCATTAAAAAAAATGAATTCCATCACTGTTTAGTAGATAATGCGTTTTTGCAGTTAACATATCATAATTGACGATTACTTTTTGATTAGATCTTTACCTGAATAGCTTCATAAGATTATCCGTAGGTTAACCGATATTAATCGTATGGTTAAGTTTTCTGATTTTGTTCGACCGTACGTCTTTGTACGTTATAATAGGCGTAGTTAATATCAAGCCACATGAAACTTAACAACGGAGCAAGAGTTTTAATTTGCTCACAATCTACAGCGGCATTAAAAAAAATGAATTCCATCACTGTTTAGTAGATAATGCGTTTTTGCAGTTAACATATCATAATTGACGATTACTTTTTGATTAGATCTTTACCTGAATAGCTTCATAAGATTATCCGTAGGTTAACCGATATTAATCGTATGGTTAAGTTTTCTGATTTTGTTCGACCGTACGTCTTTGTACGTTATAATAGGCGTAGTTAATATCAAGCCACATGAAACTTAACAACGGAGCAAGAGTTTTAATTTGCTCACAATCTACAGCGGCATTAAAAAAAATGAATTCCATCACTGTTTAGTAGATAATGCGTTTTTGCAGTTAACATATCATAATTGACGATTACTTTTTGATTAGATCTTTACCTGAATAGCTTCATAAGATTATCCGTAGGTTAACCGATATTAATCGTATGGTTAAGTTTTCTGATTTTGTTCGACCGTACGTCTTTGTACGTTATAATAGGCGTAGTTAATATCAAGCCACATGAAACTTAACAACGGAGCAAGAGTTTTAATTTGCTCACAATCTACAGCGGCATTAAAAAAAATGAATTCCATCACTGTTTAGTAGATAATGCGTTTTTGCAGTTAACATATCATAATTGACGATTACTTTTTGATTAGATCTTTACCTGAATAGCTTCATAAGATTATCCGTAGGTTAACCGATATTAATCGTATGGTTAAGTTTTCTGATTTTGTTCGACCGTACGTCTTTGTACGTTATAATAGGCGTAGTTAATATCAAGCCACATGAAACTTAACAACGGAGCAAGAGTTTTAATTTGCTCACAATCTACAGCGGCATTAAAAAAAATGAATTCCATCACTGTTTAGTAGATAATGCGTTTTTGCAGTTAACATATCATAATTGACGATTACTTTTTGATTAGATCTTTACCTGAATAGCTTCATAAGATTATCCGTAGGTTAACCGATATTAATCGTATGGTTAAGTTTTCTAATTTTGTTCGACCGTACGTCTTTGTACGTTGTAATAGGCATAGTTAATCTCAAACCACACGATACTTAACAATGGAGCAAGAGTTTTAGTATGCTCACAATCTACAGCGGTACTGTAAAAAATGAGTTCCGTCACTGTTTTAGTAGACAACACGTTTTTGCGGTTAACGTACATATATGACGATTATTAAACTTTTACTTCGACAGCTTCATAATATTCCTATACCGTGCGTTTAATGAATAGAAATAAAGCCGGGAAGGAATCGAAAACGGAAACGGAGGCAACAGTGGCAACTGATGGCAATTGTACGTTATAATATGCAAAGTTAAGCTCAAGCCCGAGGTAAGGAAAAAGCAATGGTTTACTTTTATCCTTCTTGCGTTCTCCTCCGTTCGCTTAGTTGCCTATTGCTGGTGATGATGGTGATGGTGTTGGTATAGTGGTGGTGGTGGTGTATTAGGCTCCCAGAGGTGCGCTTTGGCGCAGAGATAAGCGTAGCAGTAAATTCTTCTGGGACGTCTCCCTTGAAGCAGTTCTTATCGATAATGATGTATAGCCCAATAAAGGAGTGATTTACGTCAGAAGCGGGCAAAAAAACGACGGTAGCAAAGGGATTCTTAATTTTTTATCAGCGTCCGAGGCTGCGGACCGCAGGAAAAGATCGGCCGACCACCCCACCGAGTTTTCTTCATCTATGTTAGTATTTATACGGGCCTATAAAATATTTGGCCCAGGAGGTGGACACGTACAATGATGAATAAACGGCCTTATTGTTGTCCGTAGAAACGGCCCGATCGATAGCTCACGAAGGATGATTAGGACGGGGATTCCGGAAGCAATTTTATAATCATCCATAAATTTTCCGCATCGATAAACGAACCTTATT